GCCTGCGAGCCCCGAGGGAGGTGGCTCAGGCACTGGGCTGGGGCTGCAGGACGCGGGTCTGGTGAGCAGAGCGTGGTGACCCAGATGGGCATGGCTGGGCTCAGCCAAGCAGTTCATGGGATTGTCAAAAGGATGCTCCAGGCTCTCCTGGACACCAACACCATCAGCCCCAGCCCAGCCAGTCCCTGCCATGCATGGCAGGACACCCACCACAACTGCAGACATGCCACCCTCCACTGGGGAGAACACTGTGCTGAGACACTGTCTGTCCCCAGAGCCACTCTGTGCTCCAGCGAGGGCAGGTGCTGCAGTACCTGAAGCCCTGAGAGCAGCTGAGAGGCTCCCAGCAATCCCCCCATGGCCTGGGGCACACTCAGCCTTGCACAGGGGGAGAGGGGAAATGGGGTGGAATGCTGGGAGCTGAGCAGGCACCAAACAGAGCCGGGCAGGTGAGGAGCAGTGAGTCTAGCTCTGTTACCCGGTGTAAAAATAGGCTGAAAATATGACATTTATTAAGTACGGTTCTGGCAGAAAGGTCAGAGAGAGTCCCCGTGTCGGAGGTGGTGCAGTTTGCATGAAAGACAGTGGATGAACTGTGCTGGGAGGGGGCAGAGGCAACAGCCTGCTGCATTCTGCCCACCCCCCGGCCAGGACGTTTTGGGGTGCACTTGGGGTACCGCTGAGGATGCTCTCCCTGCCTTGGCACAAAAGCTTCCCTCTCTGTGGTCTGCATGGGCTGCCAGGGAGACCCCCCACACCACCCATGTCCCGGGCAGGGAGAAGGCCCTGCCTGGAAAGCCAGGGCTGATGCCAACTCTGAGAAGCTCTGCCAGCTCTCAGCAACCTCCCCACTCCCCCCCAACCTCCAGCCCTGGCAGGACTAGCTTCGGCAGCCACACATCAGAAACAAAAGGCTTTTGACAGGGGACGCGGTTTAGAGAAAGGCACCGGGCTCTCGCCCAGTCATGAGCGGAGCCTCCTGCTGCAGCCGCCCCCCCCCTCCCCCGCCCCCCAGACCCCTGCCTATCCTCCGTGCCCCCAGAGCACGGCCGGGAGGCTTCTCCTTTCCCACGGCGCGGCCAGGTGTGGCCAGCGGTGGCCTCGGGCTACGGCTGTACCGAGGGTGCCAGGCACGGGGCTGAGCGCAGCGTGAGCCACCTGCCACAGCTGAGCCCCAGCCCTGTGGGGATGCTTCCCAACCTCCCCGTTTAATGGCACGTGAAGAGCCCCATTGATTTCCCGTGCTGGCGCTGCGCGCTTCTCACCCTCGGCCCCAGAGCCGCGCTTGCCCTGCCGGCAGAGCTCCGCACTCCCCGCGGCACCGGGCAGGGCACCTAAGGGCATCGGGCACTGGGTAGGGGCAGCCCAGCCCCCTGCCCCCGGGCAGGGCAGGGATCAGGAGGGCTGCGGAGCGTGGCACAGCTCGTGGGGGGCGGAAGAGGCTTTGCGGGGGCTCCAGCACCGGCCTGTGGCAGCTGACGCAGGGGCCACATTTGTCAGTGGGGCTGCACGGGAGCCTTGCTGCGGCTCAGGGCTGTCCCTGCTGCCTGGGGAGATTTGCAGCACAGCCAGGCTTTATTACATGCAAGATGCTTACGCTGGGCATGTTTTTTCCCCCATAGTTTCTTAATTTTCTATCCCACAAAGAATGTGGATTTGTGACGTTAAATAGGGGAAGATCATTTACCACTCACAGCTCTTACTTAAAGGATCCACATGAGTTATTTATTGTGTGAGCACAGGCTGCAAGTGGCAGCACCAGGGGACATGCTCCAGCCTTGGTGCTACTCTTACTCCCAAGCAGACAGACGGCTGGCAGCAGCCCCACGGCTTGGCCATCCTCTTGCTGTAAAACTTCCAGCCTCTGGATAAAGTCCACCTTGTGCCCAGAGGGAAGGAAGGACTCCAGTGCTCCTGCAAGCACAGCTACAGGAAAAGCTCTTCCCTTCCCTGCTATCCTTAGGGACACGACCTCTGCTCCAGAGGTTACTCACCATGGGACCTCAAGGCATTTGTCCCACTGAGATGTGCTGCAATTTGGGAGCCCTCCATCACTGCTGGGACATGCTGTGACTCATGTATCCACCCACTGCAGCGGGGGCATAAGATCTTTCTGAATAAAAAGACACACATGGGGACCTCCGACTGGGACCAATGAAGCCTGGAGCTCAATGCCCCATGATGTCTGGGTGCAGGACAGACCAGGTGCCACAGCTGGGAAGCACAGTGGTGCCCAAGCCCACACATAACATCTGGGACTCACCCTGCCTGCCAGGCAGCTTGTGCTGTGTTTTAGTCATTCTCAGGAGGAAGCACGAGGGACCGATTGAGCTTGGGGAATGGGAGTAGGAGGATCCAGCTGCAAAAGATGTCATGCCTCGACAGGTCCCACTGCTGCCTGGCAAGGTTTTGGGACATGGTATATGGCAGAGAGGAGTCACATCTTCCCCCATCCTTCCCCACACCCAAGCCCTGCAGCCTCTGTTGCCCCAGGTTCACCCCCTTGCTCCAGGCAAGTGAGAGGTGACATGGACTCCCCTTTTTTGCTGACAGAGGCTGGGCTGGAAGGCTGAACTGGGGACAGGGGGTGAAGGCTGCAGGAGCACTGGGCTCCTCTTACTTGGGCCAGGGGCCGGGGGTCAGCCAGCACTAGCCATCCTCACGCCCCAAGCCTGCTCCGGCGCACAGTGCCAGTACACCTGACATGCCCAGGGCAGACCCGTAAGCAGCTGAGGCAGGCAGGCCAGCTGGTCCTGCACGGCCACCCACTGAGAAGCCAGTGACTGTCCTGGCGGTCACCTTCCATTGCTGCACAGCAAGGTACACATCACACACCATGTCCACACTCCGGGAAGCTTGTACCCAGCTCCATCTGCCTGAGCTCTGCTCTGCCAGCCTCAGCTCAGCACATGCCAAATCCCATTGCCATGCCCTGCTGTGCCACTGCCTGGCACAAGTCTGGGCTCATTGCCTCCCCTGCAAACTGAAGCTGTGCAGGATCCCCCAGGAAGACCCCGAGGGCTAGAGCCAGCATGGCCGAGCCACGTGCAGGACT